ACCAATCAAACATTTAGACCCTGTTTGATTCTCATTCTTTGACAACAAAAATGAAAAATATGACCGTTATCCATCATATCAAGTCACCATATTTTATTTTATATATTTTGTGTGGGTCCCGTAACAACTATATTTTTCATTCTTATTATTATAAAAATGGATTCCAAACAGGACCTTAACTCATTTAGTACCTATGTTTGTGAAAAAAAATCTTGACGAATAATCAAATTTAAAACCCATGGTAGAAGCACAAGAGTCTAATGAGTTGGGTCGACAAAAGGGAAAAATACGTAACTACGTAGGTTTCAAGATACACTATCGAAAGTAAGAAACTTATAGAAAAATTTCAAAAACTAGTGATAATAAATTTGTGACTTATTAATTAATTAAATAGGTCAATGTCACACTAATATGCAATTTATGATCGCAATCATGTACCAATCACAAATCGCACGAGATCAGTCATAAAGACACAAATTGTTTAACTCCTTGAATTCTAGCAATCCGATGCATTAGTACCAAACAAGATTTTTTTAACGTTCTTATAAAAAATTTAATTTCAATATGATGGACATATTTAATAAAAATTGACAAAATTAATTAAAAAAATTAATTTATTAAAATGTTTCATAACGTTTTGGGATCATATCATGCATCCAATATTATCAAAACTAATTCTAATATTCAATTAAAATCATAACGTTACTAACAATCGAGTCTAATACTAGAAAAAATAATCAAGCACTTTCAATAATTTTAATATCTAAAATTTAAATTACTTCATGACAAGGATTTGATTGTCCAATGGCAAGGGCAGATCCAAGAGGGACAAAATTTTTTTCTCCCTATTGGGGCTGGTACAAGATTTTCTTTTTCATGCTAAAACGTAAATGGGCTGGGCTGGGTCCCCCAAACACTTCTATCCAATGGCACATCCATCCATCTACTGTTGTCCAGCATGCTGATTTTCACATGAAATTATAAATAAAGAGGGACAATTATAACAAATTATATTTTCGAAATGCTTGCTATTCAACATTCAAATCAACACATGAAATTATACATAAATTCTCTCACCATAAAAATGATAATTCATCCAGGCACTGCAAAATAGTATTAATGCCACTGATATCAAAGGTACGCCTTAAATTGTATTATGATTTCTCCCAAAAGAATCGTGAACGAAAAATAATTATATTCATATGTAAAATTGTAATTAAAAAAATGTGAAAAAATAACGAATATCACCGAGCAAACTGTTAAATAACAATTCTTAAATTCTAAAATAGTCTGAAATTGAAATCCTAAAGTCCAGCCTCGAATCCTTGATCGTCTTTTTTTTTTTTTTTTTTTTTAAAATAATAATGAAAAATCCTTAATTGGCCAAGACGAATGATAAAACTGAAACTCTTTTAAAAACCTTCCTAAAGTTTCAAGGTTAAATGCTTTTGTAAGGAAGACGTTGATTTATATCTATATAGGCCAGGATAATTTATGAAAATAGGGTTTCTGCTTAATTTTTGAAGGATGAAACAGAAGTTAGAAAAAACCTTCTAAAAGTTTTAAGGTTAAATTCTTTTGTAAGGAAGATGTTGCTTTATATCTATTAATTTTTGAAGAATGAAACGGAAGTTAGCTAGGATAATTTTTGATAGGGTAATTCTAAGTCCTTAAATGGTTATATGTTTGACCCAATTAAATAAAAGTAAGATACATATTTCCACTTTGATTCATCAAATATTAAAGAAAAATCATATAAATCTAAATAATTATTGGGCATAATAAATTGACAAGTATAACGATTTGACTAGACATAACATTTCTGTCAATAGGTAGGTCAATTATATGCAACCCAACTCGTAAAATTTCAATGACTTAAATATTGCGAGTCAAAATAATAAATTTAGATGCAAATCATACGTTTTAGGTCACGTGATAAATTACCCATGTTATTGATCACAATTATTCAAATAATTGATCACAAATATCCAAATAATTAGTTGTAAATGCGCTTTGCCAACTACACCAGTCCATAAACCCTTACTCTTGCACATAGATATACAGATTGTGCCACCCAGATTGCTGGAGATCACTCACGACTCAATGATGGTCAACAATGCTTGAAAATCTCTCACTGCCACAACAACATTGACATAGATTAACGAAGGGGATAGATTGCGAAGGCAGGGTTTGACAATGGAGCTTCAATCTAAAAGCATGTCCTAGCGGCGATGACGACCACAAATGATGCAAAGTGAGACAATGAGTACAAATCTTGTGTGTCGATCCACCACCGAATGTGAGAGAAAAATGCGATGACTGATTTTTGTGAATGGGGGTAGAAGTTGGTGGGTGTTGGCGGGATAGATTGTGCAGTAAATAAAAAGAGAGACAATAGAGAGTGTCACATATATTTGGTATAGGGCATGGTGTGGGTGCGGGTGTACCTAATTTTCAAAAGGAAAATTACCTAGAAACCTACAATTACATACTAATTATCATAAATAAGGTGGATTAATTTAAATTTCAAATATCAGGTGGTAATTAGGATTTATTAAATATAATTAAATCAAATCTAATAAACACCCTGACCCCAACCCATCCACCTCCTAATCAATTTTCCCCATTCTTCATTCTCTCTCTTTCGTTTCGGCCCACAGATTCTCTATATCTTGGTGTCATTTCTCCAACGGTGCAATTCTCTTGCAATTGCACTGGACCCTTGCGCTTCATGTAAGGCTGTTCCCGTAACCCCCCACCCCCTCAATCCCATTCTTTATGGGTTTTGTTGCTCACTTTTTGTGTTTTCGTTTGTTTTGAGTTTTCATTTTGTGATTCGATTTGTGGGTTTTCCTTATTTAGTACTGGGGGTTATTAATGGTGCTAGAATATTTAGCTTCACATCCCATCTTTGATGGATATTTTGCTTACTTGGTGTTTTCCATTGAGTTTTCTATACTTGATTAGATTTTTGAGTTTTTCTTGCTCCATGATTTGGGGGCAGTGAATGGCGGAGGCATATTTAACCTGAGAAACTCGAAAAATGGAGATCCTGAGCCCGGAAGGTGCAAGAGAACGGACGGCAAGAAGTGGAGGTGCTCGAAAAAAGTGGCTTCGAACCAAAAATACTGTCAGCGCCACTTGCACAGCCGTCCTGGTTCAAGAAAGCTTGTGGAAGTAAAAAACAATGCCTCTATCAACACCAATATGCAAGCCACTAGCGCTCCCACAGACCAGATTCTTGCATCAAATAAGACCCCTCTACTGTATTATCCTAGAACTGATCTAAATAATTCTTTAGCCTCTTATAAGGAATCTAACAGGCTGGTTTTTGAATGGCAACTAGCTTGTGTTAAATCATCAGTATCTTTGGACACACACGACTTTGGTGTTGGTCAACTTTGGGTTTTGTTAAATAATCCTGACGTGAGTTCCGCTTTGGTGTTGGAGTTTTTGTTGGTTGTGTGGGTTTTATTGGTCGCGATTTGGGAAACTTCGGTCACGATATGGTGCTGAAAATTTTGGGGTGAGTTTTGTTCTTTGTGTGTAGTTGACGGTGGTAGCCCAGGCTATGATGGTGGTGGTCTTGAGGTGCCAATGGTTCCGTTGCTAGTTACATGTGGCTATGGTGAGGTGGTGTACGTTTGGTTGTCGATGTTGGGAATGGTGGTGAGTGACCAAATCTATCTTCATTGTGACTGCCTGCGACCAGATTTGTGTCAACTGTGACCGTAATTGACTTGGTTACATATAGTTACAAATTAAACTAACATGGTCAGAAACAGTCACACCGAAAACAATTTTGGTAATGAACACATAAGGTTAAAGCTCATATGTCATTGGTCACAATTCGCCGTTTAGGTCACAATTTGCCGTTTACAGATTTGAGTTCACAAGTTCATAGTCAGTATAAAGGGGTCACAGATCAATATTAACAGGTCACATGTCGTTTTATAGAAGTCACAAATTAAATTTATAGATCATATTTTATGGTAGGAGTCACGGGTAACAAATCATAGGTTAAAAATCATATTTTATGTCACAATGTACATAGGTCACAGGTTATTGCCTAGAAAAAAAAGATTTGTGAATTTAACATATTTAATTACAAAAGTATTTTTTTGATTAATTATTTCATAACTAAAATTTTAATTGTATTTGACTTTTGAAATTTCAAACTTTATTTTCTTAATTTTGAAATTGATCATATGCATATTCATCCCACCCTGATTAGGTTACAGATTCAATAGAACCGGTCACAGATCACAATGTACATAGGTAACAGATCTAATGAAATTGGTCACAAGTCATTGCCAAAAAAGAATAAAAAAAGAAAAAAGATAGTCGTCGGAAAGATGAGCGGTCACCGGAATAGTCATTGGAAGGTGACCGCTCACTTTTCCGGTGACTACCTTTTTTCGTCGGAAGGCGAGTGGTCATCGGAACAGTCATTGGGAAGTCGTCAGAATATTCGCCAGAGAGGTTGCTGGAATCGCCGTCGGAGACATTGTCAGAATTTCGCTGAAACCTTTGTCGAAAAAGTCACCAGAGGTGGATGGGGTGGAGAGAGAGAGATAATGGTTTGATGTGATGGGTGGGTGGTTGGAGGTAAGGTAGGGTGGGAAAAATAGATTAATTATATTATATTATAATTAAATATTTAATAAATT